AGGGGGAGGGGGAGGGGGGGTTAAACTTCAATGCTCTATGCGTTTCGGTGTCTGACCCCACTGGCGCGAACCTCTGACCGACGCAAGACAACAATCCGCAATCTCATGTCTGTGGGGTCAGACACCCCAACACTCATCATCAACGTGCTGTCCGTGCAGAGAACAGAGCTGTAAGAGGGGTCAAGCAAGCTCCACCCACTACAGGAGACTACAGAAAGGGGGCGGAGACAAGACCAGTCCCCCTGCACAAGGAGAGAGAGCAGCAGTGACCGGTCTTTATTACAGGAGGGGGCGGAGACAAGACCAGTCCCCCTGCACAAGGAGAGAGAGCAGCAGTGACCGGTCTTTATTACAGGAGGGGGCGGAGACAAGACCAGTCACCCTGCACAAGGAGAGAGAGCAGCAGTGACAACCATGCCCCTCCCCCCAAACACGCGGCTCATTTATTGTTTGTAACTAAACTGCATGAAAAGAAATGAGAAACAATTAGAAGTCAGCAGGGAAGATGGCAGATTGTTTGTGTGTCACGGTTGTGTCGGCTGATTGCAGGTCTGCGTTGTGTGTGTCCGAGTGGCTCCGCCATGACAGGCCGTGGATCGCCCCAAGTCACCTGCACCCAGTGCTCGCAGGTAAGTCATACAGGGATGGGGGGGAGGGGAGCTTATAATGGGGTCACTTTATTGCTGTGTTACATGAAAGGCTTTGTAAAGCTGTAGTCAGCGTTGTCACATCTCAGGCGACTATCCCGCTCTGCCTCATGTACACAAAAACAGGAAATACAGAAAATGATCTGCCAGAAAGCCCGGGAGCTCCCAACTTCCTGTAGTGAGCTGACAACGCTGCCTCTGCTGCACTGAAATCCCCAAAAGTGTTGTCAGTCCTGTCTGGTTTTGGTCCTGATGCAGTGGCGTCACAAGAGGGACGCGGGAGGTGCGGCCCCCATTTGGAGGGGTGACACCAAAATGACTGAGAGTAATTTTGGTGTCACCCCCTCTGGAAAGTCGCGCACTCGGTCATAGACTGAGAGCCCCACAGTGTCAGGAGAGAGGAGAGGACCCAGCGGCATACCTCATCCCGCTAGGTGAACGTCCCCTCATCCCCAAGATGGCCGCCGCCAGGTATCACAAAGATGGCAGCGCATGCGAGGTGACGTCACAGTGGGGTGCCACCCAGCCTCGGGACGCCCCTGTCCTGATGCACTACAGAAAACACCCCTCTGCCTTCCACTGGAAAAAAAGGGAAGGGGGATGTAGTCCAGCACGGGAGAACTGGTCCTGACAACACCACTCCGAATTTCAGTGAAGCGGAGGCAGCGTTGTCATCTCAGTACAGGAAGTTGGGAGCTCCCAGGATTTCTGGCAGATCAGATATTGTTTTGTGCACTTGTGATGGGATGACACTCGGGAAGCGGAGATTCCGTTGAGTATTATGTGGAATTTTTTAGCTTTTTTTTTAATGATGGAGAACGACCAATCAGAATTCATGTCCAAGGACGCTGAGCACAATATAAATACTGGAATCCGATTGGCTGCCATAGAAGAGCGCAGATCGCGGTGTCTGGTGGAGGATTTCTTTTTTTATAGATTTAAGTGAAATTAATTCATGTTTGGTTTTCTGTCCCAGAAGAAAGTTTCCCTGGACCAGCGAGTTTGTCTGACCTGCAACGGAACTGCGTGTGTGTGCGGGAGCAACGACGTGACCGGTAAGAGGACCAGATGCGTGTGTGTGAGCGAGAGGTCAGAGAGGTCAGAGAGTGATAATCAGAGACATTCTCCTACAATGATCATACTCAGTGTTCTCTGTACAGCACTGCGGTATATGTCAGAGCTATATACATGTATAATAATAGTGTGTGACTGAGGGGGGGACATTAGAGTGTAAGCTCCTCTGTACAGAGACTGATGTGACTGTGGGGGAGGGGGCATTAGAGTGTAAGCTCCTCTGTACAGAGACTGATGTGACTGTGGGGGAGGGGGCATTAGAGTGTAAGCTCCTCTGTACAGAGACTGATGTGACTGTGGGGGAGGGGGCATTAGAGTGTAAGCTCCTCTGTACAGAGACTGATGTGACTGTGGGGGAGGGGGCATTAGAGTGTAAGCTCCTCTGTACAGAGACTGATGTGACTGTGGGGGAGGGGGCATTAGAGTGTAAGCTCCTCTGTACAGAGACTGATGTGACTGTGGGGGAGGGGGCATTAGAGTGTAAGCTCCTCTGTACAGAGACTGATGTGACTGTGGGGGAGGGGGCATTAGAGTGTAAGCTCCTCTGTACAGAGACTGATGTGACTGTGGGGGAGGGGGCATTAGAGTGTAAGCTCCTCTGTACAGAGACTGATGTGACTGTGGGGGAGGGGGCATTAGAGTGTAAGCTCCTCTGTACAGAGACTGATGTGACTGTGGGGGAGGGGGCATTAGAGTGTAAGCTCCTCTGTACAGAGACTGATGTGACTGTGGGGGAGGGGGCATTAGAGTGTAAGCTCCTCTGTACAGAGACTGATGTGACTGTGGGGGAGGGGGCATTAGAGTGTAAGCTCCTCTGTACAGAGACTGATGTGACTGTGGGGGAGGGGGCATTAGAGTGTAAGCTCCTCTGTACAGAGACTGATGTGACTGTGGGGGGGAGGGGACATTAGAGTGTAAGCTCTTCTGTACAGAGACTGATGGGACCGGCTCAGTGTTCTCTGTACTGCGCTGCGGTATATGTTGGAGCCATGTGGAATAATCAATGTGTATATTTCATGTATTTTAGAAGAAGATTACATATCTCTGACATACACATGCGTGACGTGTTCGGGAGACACGCGGCCAAACGCTGCCGGCGATCGGTGAGTAAAGTATCACCATAGACGGGATCACGGAGGATACAATTCATCGTAAATGATTCTACAATATTCTCCGTTTTGCCCCTTTTGATGAATTTCCTCTATTATTTGGCGGTACTTGTGGAACGCAAAACTCCTCATTTGTCTGGGCAGTGGGGGAGGGGAGCTTCCGTTTACATACGTCTTGTTCATTCTGACATCATCTCCTTGTACGTGTCACAGTTGAGTGTCTCTGCGCAGTTACAATGAAATCTCTCTCTGTGTTCCAGGTGTGTTCTGTGCCCGCCCACCTACAATCCCGGCTGCAGCTGTCCGGCAACCAATCAGGTAACAGGATTTTTCTAGCAGTGACCCCGTCTTTTTATTGGTTCTCCGGAATAATTTGGTCTATGCTTCTTGTCTTTGCAGCTTGGCGGAGTTTGTGTCCCGAATGATCCTGGGGTAATGAGACTTTACTGTACTGTACATGTGGATGGGGAGGTCGTATTTATGAAGACTCCGCCCCCTTACATTATTAAGAACATAGCATATATGGGGGACGGGGATATATAAATATTTAAATTGAGGGGCGGGCAGATTTTATTAATTTCATTAATTTTATTAATTTATTAATTTCCATTGATTCGGTAACCGGTGCCGGGCGCCAGAGCCAGTCAGTTTGTGTCGCTTTCATGTGAAAGCGACACAAACTGATTGGCTCTGGCGCCCAGCGCCGGTTACCGAATCAATGTCATTGTTGGGATATTTGGAAAGGCCTCAAATGTGAATCAGCCAAAAAGCAGCCAATGTGTTCCCTGGTTCCAGCACCCCCCTCAGAGTCATGGAGCAAGAGGCTGTAGTCCCGCCTGTGGGGAAATCTGCTGAACTTGACTGTAGCGGATTATATAGAACAACCGCGGCGCTCGCTGTATCCCATTGGCGGTTCAAAGACGGAGTTCATTGGTTACCAGAAGCTGCTTATACAATAAATGATGAGTCCTCTGTAAAATCAGAAGCTGATCACATGACCCCGTCACTATCCGATCACATGACCCCGTCACTATCCGATCACACGACCCCGTCACTATCCGATCACATGACCCCCGCAAT